GAAACTGGGGGAAAAAGGAGAAGAGAAGCCATGAAAAGACATAGGATAATATTAAGTATATTGAAAGAAATAAATTTTAATTTAAAATTTAACAAGGCAAATACATTCTGAGAGAAAGTAGCTTTTTCTTCACTGGAATTGAAAATGTGTATCCAGTTTGTTTCCCTACATCAGCTGAAGTGTGGGAGAAAAATCTCAGGATGCTGCTGCACAAGTTTGTTTCCCAATTTCAAGTTAAGAGTAACAAAAGAGAAGAGGTTTTTACCTCTAAACCTCTGGTGATGATTCAGTGATTAGTTAATTATTATAGGTCTCCTGTGCTCCTCCACCTTGGAGAATTCCAGACTAGAGGTGTTGTTTTGAAGATGCAACTTGTGATGACATATACAGCAAAGTGAATTTATCTTTGAAGTACTTTGGAGAGATTTAATTCTCAGTTGCACTCATTTACCCTTGCAGTCTAAAAGTATCAAGAAAACACTGTTAGATTCCTCTGTACTTTTCTTTTGGAAGTATTGTTGGTTTCTGAGAAAATCTTCAAACAATTTTGGAATACTGCCTGTGAATAAATGTTTTGAAATTCAAAAATATTACAGGAGTTGTAAAAAAAGCCCTTTTCAGTTATGTACTGATAGTTATTTGTGGTCAAATCTGTAAGCACTTTCAATTAAAATTCTCTGAACAGTGGATTTATGTATAAACAACTTCCACGAAAGCTTGTACTGAAGGAGCAACTACAAAAGGAACTTCTGGGAGAATGAGTTTACTAATGGCGTAAGTTTGGAGCTGCAAAGTGCTTTCTGGAATAGACTTCTTATTTCTTGGAATGATGTATGTGTCTAAGATTAGGAATTTGTTTCTTATATTAGAATTAGAACATAGTAAAAGAATCTTTCAGCTGTTAGGAAATATTAATTTTATAAGATTAATTCAATTCTTTTGAATGAATTAATTAAGCAATTAGACAACAGGAAAAGCATTTATGAATTTTTTTAACTTACAGGATAGTTATTTTTGTGATGAAATAAAGATGTGCAATTTGCTTTCAATAAAATAACATTAATTCATAAAATAATGTCAGTATGTGACAAGGTCTAGTTCTCCTAAATGTTTACACTCTAAATGAAAGGCCATAAATTTGTCAGATGCACAGTGCCTCTCCCACCAATATTTATACACAGCATTGAATAACTAGCTAAATACTATTAATCCATATTCTTGTAGAGACTTTTTATAACCTATCATTTCCTCATAAACTGTATATCCTTTACAGCAAGGAATGTTGATGAAGAAAGATCTGAAACTGTCTAAGCCACCTGTGATTTTCTGAATGCTGCTAGTCTGTCTGTATTGCTACCATTGTGTGAAAGCTCACTATTAAGTCAGTGAGTTTCTGAAAAAAATTGTTGGCTGTAGAAACCAATTCATTGTGTTTCAATACAACTGAGTTATAATATGTTTGGTTTTCTTTTGGTTAGATGGACAGAAATATCATACAGTCACAAGACAACAAAATAAATATTCAGCAAAATATTTACATAATCTAGGCATAATAAATGTCTCTTTTCCCCACTTTGTTTCCCCCACATATTTTCATTAATATCTCTGTCTCTTCAGATATTTCTCTGTTGCCATGCTGCTACTGGTTGACCTTCTTCTGCCTGCAAATACCTTTCATGAAGAGTGATAGTATAATTTTTTCCCCAGGAATTTAAGTTAAACTGATTGGGTTATGATTTTCAGAACTTTCTTTTCCCCATCTTCTTGTAGATTGATATTTATATTATTCTATTCTATTCTATTCTATTCTATTCTATTCTATTCTATTCTATTCTATTCTATTCTATTGTTGCTCTTTTAGTCAGTTAGGACTTCTTGTCTTCATTTCCTTTCAAAGGTGATAGAGAGCAGTTTAAAATTAAGATACTTTTTCTTTAACCTTTTCTTTTATAAATAATTTTGTCATAAATTTGAAGCCTATAGTCCCTAATAAGAAGAAACCTGGAAAAAAGAAATGATACTTCAAGATCAAAATAAAACTGAAACTATGTTATATAGATACCTTCATTAAACTATTTTGCTGTGAAACACTTCTATTTGCTACTGCTAAAATTTCTGACTAATTTCTTCAGCACCAACATTTTGAAATGCATACATATATGAATAAATATATATGTGAATAAATATACACTAAATAAATTATTGTTTAGAACACTTATTTATATGTATATTGTATCACACAATCAAGAAAAAATTCAAAGAGTGAAACTGCATACGCTTCTATCATTTGTGTAACTGTTTTGATGACCCCTTAATGAGACAGGCTAAGATAATATAATAAATGTCTTATTGCACTTGGAAGATAAGAAAAAAAAAATAGTTACTGACACTATATTTCGTTCCAGGTGGGAGTAAAAAGCAACTATTTTCCTCACCGTTTATAACACAGTTAAGAATTTGACTGACAGAATGTTGGCACCAGCTGTGGTAGAACTGATCAGCCTCAACTCCAAGTAAGTGATGTCTTGCACATTTGGAGATTCATTTCAGACTAAATTTACAAAGCCTTCTATCAGAAAGTAATGACAAATTATTATAAAACATAAATATAAATATGAAATGGGGGAAATATTCAATGATCAAGAAAATGTAGACAACAAATAGTCTGTTGATATAGAAGAATAACTGGTGGGAAAAAAACAAGTGAGAATATTTGGGTGCTAATTAAATTAACCTTACTTCCCACTGCATTTCTCATGGGAGACAATTGTGGGTGAAGGACAGAGCTAGAAGCCTAGGTGGTCCAAAAATTATCTCTGAGGGGGGTCCACATGTTATTCTTCACATGGTGGAGGTGACAGCAGTGCTACAGTCACGTACATAGGAATTATGAACACATTAAAGTGCATTTCTCGTCCTTCTAGTCTTAGATTTTTAATATTCATGGACACCAGTATCTCAATTCTACTTAAAGTTTTGTTTTCTTTCCTGATAGAATTTGAAAATTTCTTCTTTTCTTATAGCTAGAAGGAAATGTGGAGAAGGGCAGAATGGTTTACAGTTTGTCCAATCTGCTTTTAACTCACAATATAATGTCTCAGTGAAAATCTATTTTCCTCTTTGAAAACTGCTAAAAAACCTGGATGATACCAGCCTGGGAAAAGGAGAAAAGGGTAAACAATAGAGAGGGAGGAAGAAAGAAAGAGGTGGTTGAGGCAGAATATTAATACAATATGTTCATTTATCAGAGAGAAATAAAAGATACACTACCATAAAATTGTTGAATGTCTGAAAACGTATTGGTGTCACTGCAAAACAAACAACTAGCTCACTTTATTGAAGTTCTTGAAAGTTTGAAAACTGCTCAAAATATATCTATTTAGAGCTAGTTGCATAAACATAGTCTAAAAGAGAAGCTAAATTTTTTTCATTGTCAGAATTTGTTTTGGATCATCAATTGCTTTACTGATTATTAGAAATACTGACAAAGTGGAAATGTATGTTTGTATTCTTGGCCCACTGCTAGTCAAACCTATGTAGTTTATCATTTATATACAGTATTTGCTACATTAAAGAATAGAATTAGGACTCTTGACAGGTTTTCAAATGTATTGAATAAAGTGTGTTAATATTTGTGAGTAGCTACTGAAAAAGATGAATTCTAGCAAGAACTTATGCTGAAACAACTTGAGACTTTGAGAAGGCGAGTTCTTTGTAATTATCTAATTAATGACAAGATGAAGCAATTAATGAGCAACACCCCATATGATTTAGACATATCTTTGCCAAAAGTCATTCTTGAATAGGATATATACTTACAGAGGGGAAAGATCTCAAGCTAGAGTACAATCACCTTGTGACCATTGCCTAGGTATCCTGGAGACTACTAAATATACATATATGTATACGTATATGAAATAGACATATTTTTTCTAGTTGCTAACTTATTCATTTCTTGTAAACACGTTTCAGTTCTTATGAATGGAGCAGATTGGGTTTTTAAAAAAAAATGTGAAATATTAGAAACAAATAATTTTCTTCTGTTTCCTGGCACAAATCAGTCATTAGTGGTATAAAGAGTAAGAATATTTTTAAATGTTATTTACCCAATATTTCAATATTCTAAGGTCAGACAAAGAAATCAAAAGTTTATCCAGTTCTCAAGCAGCAAAAAGATTTTACTTCTTAGAAACACATATACTAAGCAGAAGCAATGTGGAAGTATAATGGATGTTATCTATTTCTTCAATCATATGCAAGGTGAAATTAGCACCAGTACTTCTGTATCAATGCACAAAACTTTACTGAATATTTAATCCATTCTATTTACTATATGATCCTAAAATTCTGTGTCTTACAAACTCAAAATTTTTCTCAGGTGTGAGAAAAATGTATGGAATTATCAGAGTTAATATACAAATTGATTGATGAGGAATTTGTATGGTATACACATCCCTTTGAGGACATAGTTATTTATAGCAGCTTTATTTTACTTATTTGTTATTTTAAATTGAAATTAATAATTTAGAAATATCACAATAATCACAGATTATATATGACAGATAAGTAGCATCTTATATTTTAACATCTGTTATATGAACTTTAGAACAGAGGTGACTCTGGACCAAAGATTCATTATTTAAAAAGTTTCATCAAATCCTGGTCTGTGCAAATCATACCTATCCAATGTGACAGCCTTGATGAGAAGATAGTGGAGAGGCAAAGATGCGTGCACTTGATTACCCTGACTTCACAAAGTGCTTTGACATGGCTTTCATAGTACCTTTGTTAGCAGGTAGGCAATTACATGAAGCAGATGAACAGTCTTACTGTTGTGATCCATAATACAAAGCCCAACTAGTGACTAGAAAGGTGTACTTTCTGTCTAGGATAAATACCAAGACTAATCATGTTTAATGTTCTTGCAGAAGATCCAAAACATTTATGAAGAGATCAACACAGTAGGAGTTAGGGCTTCTGCAGAGACAAATGATCTGACAGGAACCCCATGAAAATGGATGTGAAGTGCTGCATCTTGGAAGCGAGAGTATGGGCTGATGCTGACCAGCTGGGGAGCTGCTCTGCAGTAATGTCTCTGGGACCTCTGGAGCCACTAGGCTCTTCCCAAGGCAGCAGTAGACTCAGAAAAAGCAGTCTCAAACCCTAGACTGCATTAGCAAGGATGAAGCCAGCAGATACGGAAAAGTGATTTTGCACTGCTGTTCACACTGTGAAATCACATCTGGTAGGCTTTGCGTACCAGAGTATGAGACAGGCATTGATAAAATGGAGTTAGACTTGATCTTTGTGGTATGGAGACTAATTGCAAGAAAGCCTGTGAGATGCTGAGATAGCTCTCTACCATAACATATGGTCCTCCTTTTATTTTGGATGTCAAGATAACCTTTTTGAGGCAAAGTATGAAGAATAAGAAAAAATATCAGAAATTCACTCTTAAATGGGGACAAGATACCTATTCTAGCACACCACAGCTAAGACCATCCTGGGTTAATTTTTGACATTGGTATATATATTCAGTATGTACCATTGATATTGTTCCCAAATATTAACTGGCATATGGTGAAAAGAATTCAGAATTAAGAGTGTGACAAGAATGTGACTAAATTTTTAAGATATTTAAATACTCTGGGACACAAAAAAAAAAAAAAATCAGATGAAAAATGAGTGTGTTAAGTTATATAGTTTACAAGTACTTCTAGTGAGCAAACTACAAGAACTAAAGCAAGAGACTACTTTTGAATAAAAATATAATATGTGTATATTAGTCTATTTAGCTTAACACTTACAATATGAGTGACAAAAAATACAATGCAGAAAAAATAAAAGATATAGAGCTTAAGACTATTATTGTTCAAGTTACAGCAGTTTAAAATACCCTGACATCAGAATACTCAGTCTATTTCTAGGCCATCTTTGTCCCAGTGATAGAGTTAAAGGCAAAGAAAAGAAATATTGTTGTATTCATTCTACATTTGGGAACAAGGTCACCGCAAAGTGAACATCTCACATTAGGAGTCTGCTATTGGGCCAAAAATGGAACCTGTTTATCTTGACCCTTGTTCGAGGGTTTCAGACTTCATCTCTACAAAAGGTTAACACTTTGCATCTGGATAACATCAGGATCAAATTTTCACAAGCTTTTAGTACCCTCACTGGGCGAGGTCTTCTATTCTTTCCACAGAGAGCACTTAACTGATTATCAACTGATAGTCCCTGATTTTAATATATGCTGAAGGTCAAGGTTAACATTTTAGCAGGTTTCCTGTGTGATGACAAAATTTGACAAGGTCTAATTGGTTGTGATTTGTCTTTTAATCTTCTAATCTCTTATTATTGCTTCATTTATATGTGTGAAGATAACGGAATTTAGAGACATATTGAACTGACATTTCCCTTAGACACAGGAAAAAAGAAACTGTATATGTATTGATGACATTTCTCTGGATTGATTCAACTCAAAATAAGGGCAAGAAAAAAGCTTAGCTTATGTATCCCTCTTTTTTAGTGCTTTGAACAGGCAGGGAGTGAGTAGGGGTAATAGTTCTTGTTACCAGTTTTGGAGCTGTTGCATACATGGCATTGTCTGCAGGGTAAGAATTTCTGTTTCCTGTTTGTTCATCGATAATGAGATTAAAAGTTATACGTAGACAAAAGAGGAAACCGATTCCCTTTAAACATGATGAATATTATCTGCAGTTCTTAAACTAAGGCCTATTAATATATTAAAATTAAGGCTTGAGAGCATTTTACATAAGTTTAAAAGCATCTTCTGAAAGTAGAATGTTTATGTAAATAACATATTCTTAAAAGTCTTTGAAACAAGAGCACCTACAAAGATAGAATTTTAAGTACTTTGCATATTTGTAAGTACATAATTTGCACTATGTATGGTATATGCAATGTATATACAATACACACATACAGACAATAATAAAAAAGCCACTCAATAAATGAAGCAATCCAAGAGCAGAGCAAACAGAGATGGCATGTGAATATAATAATATGAATAACACGGCATGTACAATCCTGACATCTTCTATTTTATAATTCCTGTGGAGTGAAACTGCTCTTCTTTCTATGTAAATGTGAAATTCAGGTGAGAAAAAGCAATTAATTTCCCCAATGTATTATAGGAAATACATGGGAGCCCAGGGAGATTGATACTTTCCCAGATCCTATGTTAGAATCTTGAAAATGCTGCCCTTTATGAAGGGCTGTCATTAATATAGAAAACAAGTAGTCCATTTTCACTTTCACATACAAATATTTGTATCTTAAAAGGGCAACAATTTTTGGAAACAACTTATAGCATTGGGAATATTGCTATTTTTTGTCATACTGTACAAACTGGCATTAAAAGAAAACTGTCACACTATTTCATATGATACACACATCTTATCATATGGATTTTTATGTACCTTTTAAGTCAGGTAATATACTTGACTGAGTTTTGATATGGGGTGTGCTTGTTTATGTGTGATATGAATTTGGG